CCAAGAGGACAGTGACTGAAAAACTTCATATCAATGGACCCTATTGTTGTTTTACAAAGTTTTAATATATTTGTAAATAGCTCAGAACAATATTCCTTTACACACACAAAAAAAAACCCATTCAAAATCACCAGCTAACAATTACACTGAATAGTTCTTTTAAATCCCAGATAAACCTTTCCATAACAATTATAGTAAATTGCAATAACATTCAAAAAGATATCAGTGTTAGTTTGTTTTACTATAAAAAGAAATACAGGAACCCAGTAGTGCCTTTGAGAGTAATTAGGAAGAAGACATTTCTAACATAAGGTTTTTGTGGACACAGTCCACTTCATCAGAGTCCAGCTAGAAATTCCTTCTTCCCACATAGTCCCAAAGGTGCAATTTTCCATGTATTTTCTTATATGCAAGAGTAAGACCTTTGTATTATAGCATCCTGTTTCTTATATTACTAAAGAGATGTACATGAAAAGCCCACAAGCTTGTGAGTATGGTTACATTTTTCTATTGTCTAATACTGACTCTAAACATTGCATTTGGTAGTTATTGATGGCAAGTACCTGTGAATACATTCTCCATGAATTAGCTTGATCTGTAACATGGCAGAACTACTTACCACCTTCTTTGCCTCAGTCTTCTCTCAAAAAGAAAGCTGCCCTCAACCTCAGGCCACATGGAGTGGATGAAGGATTAGGAATACATCTGCATTTCTTAAGTTCTGAAACTGTATTACTCAGAAGAACAAGAGGAAGGCCTGTATAATATCACAAAGGATTACCACCTCACCCGCTTCATAGGAAATCTGCTACAAAACAGGAGCTTTTTTGTTGAGTTTCAGGGTCAGAGAAGTAGATGACAAAACGGAAGAACAGCCTGCCTCAGGGGAGTGTGCTTGCTCCATCCATGTTTAATATTTACACAAATGACCAGACAGTGCCAGAAAGGAATAGAGAGTTTCATCTATGCTGATGATCGTGCCATCACCGCTCAAGCATCTCAAGCTCTGAGGACTACCTAGAAAGGAATCCCACTGGAGCATTGCAGCACACCAGAATACTTGGAAGTCACTCTGGACCGTGCTCTGACTTATAAGAAGCACTGCTTGAGTATCAAGTAAAAAGTGGGTGCTAGAAACAATATCGTACGAAAGCTCAGTGGCACAACCTGGGGATCAAAACCAGACACAGGGAAGACATCTGCCCTTGTGCTTTGTTGCTGTGGATGTGTTTCTTAATGAGACATGCCACATTATTTATTTATTTATTTACTTTGCTTCTATATCTCATCATGGGATGTCTACAGCCTACACTGCTGGAGAAATTATACTGTTTAGCCGGTATTGCATTGGGAAGTAGCTGCCAGCAATGAAAGGACCAAGACATTGACATCTCCAGCTCATCCTCTGTTTGGATATCAGCCAGCATTGCCAAAGTCTTAAATCAAGAAATAGCTTCCTAAGATCTACAGAGATACTCACAAGAACACCTCAACAAGCGAGAGTCCAAAAGTGGCAGGCTAAAACCAAGAACCTCAATCAGTGGCTGAGACCAGATGAGAAATTCCCTCCTGGCACACAGAAAACTGGGTGACTTGTAAGGCGCTGAACAGACTGCGCTCTGGCACGATGAGATGCAAAGCCAACCTTAAGAAATGGGGCCACAAAGTGTGGAGAAAAGCACACCACAGACCACTTACTCCAGTGCAGTCTGAACCCTGTCACATGCACAATGGAGGACCTTATCACAGCCACGTCAGAGGCACTCGAAGCGGCCAGCTTCTGGTCAATGGACATTGAGTATAATGCCAAGTTTTTAACTTTGTTGTTTCTATACTTTATAACTGTATTCTCAATTCTCTTCTGCCACAAGAAATACATAAATACATAAATACTTATTATTATTTAATAATATAGTGCATCAAAGTGTGCATCAAAGGTGTCACTGTCTTTTTTCTAATCTTTATATGCTTAATATTTTTAATTGAATAGATCCAGTGTTCAAAGGTGTCACTGTCATCCTCCCAGATGGACAGTTTTGGATTTCAGAATTCCGGATAGGGGATACTCATAGGGATTGCATGGATTAAATTGGATTGTAGACTACAGAAGAAAGTCATTTTGGATTCCCAAGGGAAGGATGGGAGATTTTCACTAAGAAAAGATAAGAAGCAGAAAAAGTGGCCATCGTCTAAACTGTCCTGGACCTCCTTGAGGGAATCCTCTGCTTCTGTCGTTGATTATTTCTTCCCCTTTGGCACACATTGTAGTACTTCTCACATGCCAAACTTTGTTTTCCTATTTCTGTAACTGCATTCCCTCCTGAAATCGTATTACTCTTGTCGTCTAGTTTGTAGCAGCCTGTGGTAAGAGAATCCCTGATCACTACCATTTGTAAGCAAGGCTGCCAAAACCACAGGCTCCCCTTCTTTTCTCGCATCCTGTGTCTGAAGATGCACAGAGCTCTCCAGATCTGTCAACCTGTGGTTTCTGGAGTGACTTTTCTGTAGAGCTCCTTTATTACCCTCTTCTAGTACACATAAATGGTCAGTTTGAAGATAATTGCTATTTAAAATTATCTGAACATACAAAAAAGAGTGCTGCTAAACTCAGAGGATGCCTGCTATGGGTGTGGGCAAAATGTCAGGAGAGAATGCTTCTGGAACATCACCATATGGCCCGGAAAACTCACAGAAAGCCTTTGACAATACATTTTTTTAAATAATTGCTTTCCTAATAATGCACTATTGTTCTCCTGGCTATGCACAGATACTTGAGACTTTAAAAATTGAAACAAGTTCTCTTATGATAACAGTTTCAGCACATTGTCAGTTGGCGCTTGGCAGAAATATTGCAACGCAGGCACACATTATTTTCTCCCCATATTTGATATACCCAGATTCGTTACTCTGCAATCCATTTCTGTGTGTTCCATTGCTTAACAAGGAGCACATGGGATTTTTCACATGCTTTGAGCACGCGTGTAACCAATTTCAGGACTGAAAACAAAATAGTTGAAATAGTTTTGGAGGCTTCAGCCCTTCCGAAAGGCTTAGATTGACCATGTGTGTAATAGGCCAGGTCACTTGCAGCTGCTCTCAAGGAATGCATCTGCATTTCTTAACTTCTGAAACTGTGTTACTCAAACGAAAAAGGGAAATGGCATGAAGCACGCACAGTTCAATTTAACTCGCTTAGTGTCGGTCACTACAAAATTGCCACAAGATGAGCCTTGTACCAAAAATGATTAAAGGAGATAGCAGTTCATTAACAACTTGTATCCTGCACCGTTGGTACCTCATAGCCTCCATGCTGTGGACTCAAACAATGATGGATCTGGACCAAACTTGGCACAAATATTCCATATGCCCAAATATGAACACAGATGGAGCTTGAGGGAAATAGACCTTGGCATTTGGGAGTTGTAGCTACTGGGATTTATAGTTCATCTACAATCAAAGAGGATTCTGAACCCCACGAATGACAGAATTGGACCAAAATTTCCGACACGGAACCCACATGACCAACAGAAAATATTTAAGGCCATACAGTCGAACTCCCTTCACCAAGGCAAGAAAACATAATCAAAGCCCTTCTGACAAAGAGCCATCCAGCCATAGATATCGATAGATAGATATGATTTAGACACACACAGATGTGAAAGGGACCCCTAAAGAAGGACAATTATATGTTTCATGTTCCAGAGAAGGCAAACCAAACAATCTCAACATCAACACTGACAAAGAAACAGCAAGAAATGCTGTTTACCCACAAGCAGAAAGAAATTACATATATTGAAAACCAAAACTTTCTCATTACTTTATTTTCCAGATCATCACACTGGGCCACAGCAACGCATGGCAGGGGACGGCTAGTTTTATAATAAAGAACATATGGTCTGCAGATGAATTAATGATACATTTGTACTATCGCCCAAGGTTGCTGGGATGTATATGTGATGCATATGATGTTTGAATGGAATTATATGAAAGATATTTGAATGGAATTATATGAAAGATGTGTTGGGCTGAAGACACAGTTCTCAAAAGATTGAAGGCTGGAAATTTACAAAAAGAAGGCGAAGAGTTCATGGAGTGAAATTAAAACTTGCTAATAAGAACTGAAATGGTTGACCTGCCCTAGTAAACTGTGATGAGAACTGTGACAGTGATAAGAGAAATGTTTACATCTGTTTACATCCATCAACATTTCCTGACCAGAAACCAAATTAATTGGGAAGTTTACTGTGCCTATTCTGGTTAGTTACTTTCCTCTATCACAGTGGAAAGCTCTCACTATATGGTCAAGATATAATTAGAAGATATAATTAGATAGTGGTTTAGCAAAAGATAATTTTATAATAAAGAACATGTGGTCTGCAGATGGATTCGTGATACATTTTTACTATCACCCCAGGTTGCTGGGGCGTATATGTGATGCATAAAAAGATATGATGTATAGTTTGAATGGAATTATATGAAAGAAGTATGAATGGGGCCTAATTGGGCTGAAGACACAGTTCTAAAATGATTGATGGTTGGAAAATTACAAGAAGGAGGTGAAGAATTCATGGAGTGTAATTAAAACTTGCTAATAAGAACTGAAATGGTTGACTTGACCTAGTAAACTGTGATAAGAACTGTGACAGTGGTAAGAGAAATGTTTACATCTGTTGACATCCATCAATATTTCCTGTCCAGAAATCAATATCTGTTAAGAGGAAAGTCAGCATAAGGCTCCTTATGTCTACCAACACCAGTTAAGGAGAGTCAACATCTGCCAGGAACAGAGAAGGAATCAACATGTTTCAGGCTGGAAAAATATCTATCAGTCATTTACAATTTTGTAACATCTGTAGAATATTCCTATAAAAGACTCTGCCTTGTTGGCACTGAGACGAATGTTGCCACTATGAGAGTCACCCTTTGGCACTTGTCCTCTAAAAGATATCTTGCAATCCTCAGTATGAATATTAATGGTTTTATTTGGACTTCTTTTGCAGCTCTTGAATCGCAAAGACAAGACCACGTTTGAAAAGCTGGACTACCTAATGTCTAAGGAAGATAATTATAAGAGGATGCGGGACTATATCAGATGCTTAAAGATGGTGCCCTGTATTCCTTATCTAGGTAAGATGGCTTAGATTGAAAACAGTCTTCAGTGAAATGTTTTTGCTCTTTATGACTAAGGAGTAAACCTGTACGTATTGCATCCAAATCACACATTAAACCAATTTGTACCGTCATTTCTTCCCCTTATGATGCAGTTATCCTCAGTTAATGAGGTGGCGGGGTATAAATAAAGTTTATTATTATTATTAATGATAACTCTGCAAGTTTCTCCAAGGCAACATGGAGGGGGTGGGCCTTTTGTTGTGGGCCTTTTGAGTATAGAATGCTTTATACTAGAACAGGTATTGTCTGAGTCCCTCTACGGAGGTAGAGAAAATCAGGATATAAAAGTTATAAATAAATAAGGGAAAACCCAGGCCTGGGGGCCGGATGCGGCCCTTTGGGCTCTTTTCTCAGGCCCTCCTCTGTCTTACCATTCTATCCTTCCTTTCTTCCTTCTCTCTTTTCTCCTTCCTTCCTTCCCTTCCACCCTTTCATCCTTCCTTCTTTCCCTTTTGTCTTTCCTTTCTTCTCTCTTTTCTCGTTCCCTCCCTCCCTTCATTCCCTCCTACCCTTCATACCTTCTATCCTTCCCTTCCTCCCTTTCTTCCTCAATTCCTTCTCTTTTTCCTTCCTCCTTTTCTCCTGGGGGATGTTTAGCTGGGAGAAGGTAGAGGGGGAACATGATGAGAAGCACTTTCAAAATTTCAAATGGTGTCCCATTGAGGAGGGCGGGAGAGAACTGACTTTCTGCTGCTCTGGAGACCAAGGCACAAGGGAGCAATGGGTTCAAATGGCAGGGAAAGAGATTTGACTGAAAAGATGAGGAAGAACTTCCTAAGAGTAAGAGCTGTTGGAGAATGGCCCAGGCTGCCTGGGAGTGTGGTGGTGTCTCCTTCTCTGGAGGCTTTTCCGCAGAGACTATCTATCACAAGTGCTTGCATGGCAGGGGGTTGACCTGGATAGCCCTTGGGGGTCTCTTCCACCTCTAGGATTCTATGTCAGTAGGCAATATGGGGTCTAATGGATACTTTTTCTCTCCCATCCGCCTGGCTTGAGAGCAGTACATGTGAAAAAGATCTTAGAGACCTCGTGGACAACAAGTTAAACATGAGCCAACAATGTGATGTGGCGGCAAAAAAAGCCAATGGGATTTTGGCCTGCATCAATAGGAGCATAGTGTCTAGATCTAGGGAAGTCATGCTACCCCTCTATTCCGCCTTGGTTAGACCACACCTGGAATATTGTGTCCAATTCTGGGCACCACAATTGAAGAGAGATGTTGACAAGCTGGAATGTGTCCAGAGGAGGGCGACTAAAATGATCAAGGGTCTGGAGAACAAGCCCTATGAGGAGCGGCTTAAGGAGCTGGGCATGTTTAGCCTGAAGAAGAGAAGGCTGAGAGGAGATATGATAGCCATGTATAAATATGTGAGAGGAAGCCACAGGGAGGAGGGAGCAAGCAAGCTTGTTTTCTGCTTCCCTGGAGACTAGGACGCGGAACAATGGCTTCAAACTACAAGAGAGGAGATTCCATATCTGAACATGAGGAAGAACTTCCTGACTGTGAGAGCCGTTCAGCAGTGGAACTCTCTGCCCCGGAGTGTGGTGGAGGCTCCTTCTTTGGAAGCTTTTAAACAGAGGCTGGATGGCCATCTGTCAGGGGTGATTAGAATGCAATATTCCTGCTTCTTGGCAGGGGGTTGGACTGGATGGCCCATGAGGTCTCTTCCAACTCTTGATTCTATGATTCTATGATCTCTTCCTGACCAAGGCTAACCCTTTTGGGATTCAAATATTTCCTGCCTTTCCTTCACTTTCTGCCTCCGAAAGAGAAGAGGAAGGGGAAGAAAGGGCAGGGAGGGGATTTGGAGAGAACCCCCCTTTCCTGGCCTGCCATGTGCCCCCCCCCCCCCCCAAGCTAGAAAGTTTGTGCATGTCTGTACTAGAAGGTTCAAATCAACATGATTTTTTTCCTTTTATTTATTAGCATTGTCTCAAAGTTTCTAATTTTAACACTCAGGATCCTGTGAGCTCATTTGTTCCAAAACTTTTTTTCCTAGTGAGTAATTACTGGAGTATCAACAAAGCCCATAGTGCCTTTTATTTTTGTGCCTCTGCTTTAGCAGAATGGATTCCTTTTTATGACCTTAAGATACATGAATGTTTGGTACATCAGGAAACTAAACATATAATAGCAGGTATTCTGAATGTGTTTTCAATGCAGTTAAGTTCTGCTTTTTTGTCTTTTCCCTTGATGTCCTTGATCTCCTCCAACATTGGGAGTAGCACAGCGAAGTGTGCCCAAAGAGCATAATTCAGCTGGGTAGCTTCTGCTTTTGGGGTGGCATGCAACAGCAAGGAAGCAGGCCTGGAATTAATGAAGTCGTATTAACATCAAAAGGATTGTGCATATTTTTAGGGTCGTCCTCGCCTGTAATTTTTATTACAGAAGAAGAAAAGAAGGGAGAGGAAACACTAGATTCATACTGAAGATTATAAGTTTCGTTTTTAGTTGAGCACAGCACAATTTTTGTGGTTTAAAGAAGCAGCAGCTTTTGAGGGCCAAGTCCTGGATGTTTTCTTTTCTTTGGCTATCCACCTAAATTATATATTGCATTAAATTTATTTATTACTAGCTTGGGGACCCGAAGGTGCCCAGGTTATAAGAAGAAGGCATTGTTTGTTTTGGGGTGTTAGGTAATATCACTTAAGTTTGGTCCAGATCCATTGATGACTGGATTCAGTGCTCTCTGGATAAGGGAGAACTAAAGGTAAAGGTAAAGGTTGTCCCCTGACATTAAGTCCAGTCATGTCTGACTCTGGGGTGTGGTGCTCATCTCCATTTTTAAGCCGAAGAGCCAGCGTTGTCCATAGACACCTCCAAGGTCATGTGGCTAGCATGACCACATGGAGCGCCGTTACCTTCCCGCCGCAGCGGTACCTATTGATCTACTCACATTTGCATGTTTTCGAACTGCTAGGTTGGCAGAAGCTAGGGCTGACAGTGGAAGCTCACGCCGCTCCCTGGAATTGAACCTGTGACCATTTGTTCAACAAGCTCAGCAGCTCAGTGCTTTAACCCACTGCACCACTACAACTCCCAAATTCCAAGGGGAATCACCCCCAAACCCTGCCAGTATTCACAGTTGGCCATGTTGGGACTGTGTGCCAAGTTGGTCCAGATTCGTCATCGGCTGGGTTTAGTGCTCTCTGGATAAGGGAGAACTACAACGCTCTGATTTCCCAAAACCCAGCCTGTATGCACAATTGGTAATGTTGGGTCTGTGTGCCAAGTTTGGTCCAGACCTGATGTCGGCTGGGTTCAGTGCCTTCTGGATGCAGGTGAACTACAACTCCCAAAACAAAGGTTAATTCCCACATATCCCTGCAATATGTTCAGTTGGTAATGGGGCTTTTCTGTGGCAAGTTTGGTCCCAGTCCATTGTTTGTGGGGGTCACTGTTTCTCTGGATGCAGGTGAACTACAACTCCCAAAACAAAGGTCAATTCCCACAAATCCCTACAGTATGTTGAGTTGGTAATGGGGCTTCTCTGTGGCAAGTTTGGTCCGAGCCCATTGTTTGTGGGGGTCACTGTTTCTCAGGATGCAAGTGAACTACAACTCCCAAAACAAAGGTCAATTCCCACAACCCCCTGCAGTATGTTCAGTTGGTCATGGGGCTTCTCTGTGGCAAGTTTGGTCCGAGCCCATTGTTTGTGGGGGTTACTTTCTCTGTAGTTCAGGTGAACTACAACTCCCAAAACCAAAGTCAATTCCCACAACCCCCTGCAGTATGTTCAGTTGGTCATGGGGCTTCTCTGTGGCAAGTTTGGTCTATTGTCGGTGGGGGTCACTGTTGGATATTGGAATGCCATCTTTTAGCTCTTATTGTAGGTAATTTCTAAGCTATTACAATACAATTAGAGCCATCTGAAATGAAAGATGCCTCATCCTTAACACAAAACACATTCATGGTATTGCGTTTATGGCTTGTACATACAGCAATTAAATTCTAGGTTTCAGGAACATCGCGTGCAGAAAAAGATGCTTCTGCCGTTAAAATCCCTTGTTTATTTTTCTGATGCGACTACTATAAACATATAAGCAAAAAGCTTTGCATGCTGTCTTTAATGAAGTGTCATATATTTATTTATCTTGTCAGAAGCAAATTGAGAATACAGTTGTAATGTAGCAAAAGAAGTTTAAAACATTATACTAATTTTCCTTTGACTGGATGCTGGCCAATCAGAGTGCCTCTGGCGTTGCTGCAACAATTGTTCATGTGGTGGGACTCAGACTAAATTGCAGTAGGTGGTCTGTGGTTTGCTCTTCTCCACACTTACATGTTGTAAACTTCACTTTGTAGCCCAATTTCTTAAGGTTGGCTCTGCATCTTGTGGTGCCAGAGCTCAGTCTATTCAGCATCTTCCAAGTCGCCCAGGAGGGAGTTTCTCATCTGGTCTCAGCCACCAATTGAGGTGCTGGGTTTTAGCCTGCCACTTTTGGACTCTCGCTTGCTGAGGTTTTCCTGTGAATATCTCTGTAGATCTTAGGAAGCTCTTTCTTGATTTAAGTCGTTGGCGTGCTGGATGATATCTGAACAGAGGATGGGCCAGAGATGTCAATGCCTTGGTCCTTTCATTATTGGCTGCTACTTCCCAATAGATGTCAGGTGGTGTGATACCCCCTAACCAGTGTAATTTTTCCAGTAGTGTAGGGCAAAGACATTAAATTTTAAACTATTACATTTGGCCCGGCCATAGGTTTTTAAATCTTTGTGTGTTATTGTTTATATGTGAGTTATATTAATTATATTGTTTTATTTGCTTATTGTTTTTGTTCTATTGATGTGTTGTCGGGCTTGGCCTCATGTAAGCCACTCCGAGTCCCCATGGGGAGATGGTGGCGGGGTATAAATAAAGTATTATTATTATATATACAAATTTGAATACTGGTGAGTTTTGAGGGGAATTGGCCTGGACATTTTGGAGTTGTAGGTACTGAGATTTATAATTCACCTGCAGTCAATGAGCCCTCTGAACTCCACCAAGGATAGACTAAACTTGGCACACATAGAATAATAGAATCATAGAATTATAGAGTTGGAAGAGACCTCATGGGCCATCCAGTCCAACCCCATTCTGCCAAGAAGCAGGAATATTGCATTCAAAGCACCCCTGACAGATGGCCATCCGGCCTCTGTTTAAAAGCCTCCAAAGGAGCCTCCACCACACTCCGGGGCAGAGAGTTCCACTGCTGAACAGCTCTCACAGTCAGGAAGTTCTTCCTCATGTTCAGATGGAATCTCCTTTCTTGTATTTGAAGCCATTGTTCCATGTCCTAGTCTCCAGGAAAGCAGAAAACAAGCTTGCTCCCTCATCCCCGTGACTGCCTCTCACATATTTATACACAGAGCCCCCATGACCAGCAAAAAATATTGGAGGTCTTTGGGGAAAATTCACCTTTATTTGAGGGAGTTGTAGTTCACCTACATCCAGAGTTCACTGTGAACCCAAACACTAATGGATCTGGACCAAACTTGGCATACAGACCTGATATGCCAGAATTTGATTACTGGAGGGGTTTGGGGGGTGGGGGGACTGACCTTCCTTTCTGGGAGTTGTAGTTCACCCACAACCATGGAAATTGTGACCTCCACCAATGACCAAACTTGGCACACAGAACCCCCATGACTAACTCAATGTATTGGAGAAGTTTGAAGGGAACTGACTCACTGTAGTGGGAGTTGTAGTTTACCCTATAGCCAGAGAGCACACTGAACCCTACCGATGATGCATCCAGAGCAAACTTGCCCAACATAATAAGCTTTAAGTACTGATGGAGTTTCTCAGGGTTAACCTGGCATGATGGGAGTTGTAGTTCACCCACAACCTTATGCATTTTGGACAACTAAAAAAATAACCCGGGCAATGCCGGGGACCCAAGATAGCTATAGTAATAAATGCGCCAACCCATAGGACTTAGAATGCACCTACACTGTAGAAGTAATGCAGGTTGCAGTAATGCCATGGCTCAGTTCTGTGGAATTACTGGAGCCGTAAGAGATCTTGAGCCATCTCTACCTAAGAGTAAAATTTAAATACACAGACTCTATAGCATTGGTTGCTTTTATTACACATTTTCATTATTATACGGATAATCTGATCATATATTAAAAATCCCTACTTCCATTTATGTACAAGACTTGCTACATCGGACTCCCAAACTTTCACGCACATTGTCAATCCGGAAAGGAATGATGAGGTAATAAGAGTCTTATCATGTATCGTTTTTGCTCTTCCTATAATGCAAATACATTGTTCGGGAAACTTACCTCAGCAGAATACTATAATCAGGGGTTTGGGTTCCTACAATGGACTTTATAAATACGATAGTTCTCTTGTAATGCATACATTTGGCAATAATAGTGAAGTATGGCAAATATAGTTCTGGGTTTCAAATAGTTCTCCCTAAATGTCGTAATGTAGTGGCTAGGGGTATTTAAATAAGTTATATATATGTATCCACCATTTGCCTGCAAAGTTGGATAGCTCATATTTGTTGCTGTGATGACTACGGAGCGCACAAAATACCTTGAAAATTGTAAGATGTCACTTATGGTGTTGCTTGTTTTGATTGGGTAAAATCGAAGTTACGTATAAAAGATCCAAGTCTCAGTATTGATGGGAAAAATACCTTTCTCATAATGTCATGGGTAGTGGTTGATAATGGTAACACGTTTAGAAAAGAGAGAAGATAACCTCAACTGTGCCATTGAAGGCTTTCATGGCTGGAATTACTGGGTGGTTATTAATTTTCCGGGCTGCCTGGCCATGTTCCAGAAGCATTCTCTCCTGACGTTTCACCCACATCTATGGCAGGCATCCTCAGAGATTGTGAAGTCTTTTGGAACCTAGGCAAGTGAGGTTTATATATCTATGGAATAATGTTCAAGGTGGGAGAAAGAACTCTTGTCTGTTGGAGGCAAGTGTGAATGTTGCCATTGGCCAGCTTGATTAGCATTGCATAGCCTTTTGTAGCTTCAAAGCGTGGCTGCTTCCTGCCTGGGGGAATCCTTTGTTGGGAGGTGTTCGTTGGCCCTGATTGCTTCCTGTCTGGAATTCCTTGTTTACTGAGTGTTGATCTTTATTTACTGTCCTGATTTTAGAGGGTTTTTTTATTACTGATAGTCAGATTTTGTTCATTGTCATGGTTTTCTCTTTTCTGTTGAGATGATCCACCTGCTTGTGGATTTCAGTGGCTTCTCTGTGCAGTCTGACTAGTGGTTGTGAGAGTGGTCCAGCATTTCTATGTTCTCAAATAATACGTTGTGTCCAGGTTGGTTCATTAGGTGCTCTGCTATTGCTGACTTCTCTGGTTGAAGTACTCTGCAGTGCTACAAGTACAGGAGAGTCTCATTTATCCAACATAAATGGGCTGGCAGAATGTTAGATAAGCAAAAATGTTGGATAATAAGGAGGGATTAAGGAAGAGCCTATTAAATGTCAAATTACGTTATGATTTTACAAATTAAGCACCTTTTTTTTTTTTTGGTCGTGTCAGGAGTGACTTGAGTAAATGCAAGTCATTTCTGGTGTGAGAGAATTGGCCATTTGCAAGGACGTTGCCCAGGGGACGCCTGGATGATTTGATGTTTTTATCATCCTTGTGGGAGGCTTCTCTCATGTCCCCGCATGAGGAGCTGGAGCTGATAGAGGGAGCTCATCCGCCTCTCCCGAGATTCGAACCTGCGACCTGTCGGTCTTCAGTCCTGCTGCACAGGTGTTTAGCCCACTGCGCCACCAGGGACTCCATTAATTAAGCACCAAAACATCATGAAAAACAGTTAAATGCACAGTAACATTATGTAGCAATTACTGTATTTACGAATTTAGCACCAAAACATCGCAATGTATTGAAATAGCTGTGGATCAGGCAGACTGTGTTGGATAATACAGAATGTTGGATGAGCGAAGGTTGGATAAGTGAGACTCTACTGTATTAAAACTCTGACATCAGGACAGTAAATAAAGAGCAAAACTAAAAAAAACAGGGGAATTCCAGACAGGAAACAATTAGGGCCAGCTAACACCTCCCAACAAAGAGAGGTGTTAGGTGCATCCTGTCTTCCAGGCAGGACGCAGCCAAACTTTGAAACTGCAACGGGAATCCTTTGTTGGGAGGTATTAGTTGGCCATGATTGTGTCCAAGGCCATTCAATGCTAATCAATCTGACCAATGGCAACATTCACACTTGCCTCCCACCCTGGACATTATTCCACAGATATATAAGCCTGACTTACCTAGTTTCCAACAGACCTCACAACCTCTGAGAATGCCTGCCATAGAGGTGAGCAAAACGTCAGGAGAAAATGCTTCTGGAATATGGCTATACAGCCTGGAAACTCACAGCAACCCATAACCTCAACTGTTTGTGTGCGCTGTATACAATAATTTATTTTCAGGTTCTAATAGTGCTTTGAGCTCCAAGTCAAAATGGGGTTCTATTTGCGCTTGGCATTTTGTAGACACTTCAAAGTAGACACTAAAGCCTTCACAACACCAAAAAAAAATTAAATTAGGAAACAATCGCTCTAATGGTCTAAGGTACCTGTACTGGCTACATAGTTTCAAAGGATATAATTTCCTGTGTCAAATGAATTCATTATTATTATTATCATCATCATTATCATCACTATTATTATTATTTTAAGAAGTCTTACTGTACAGGTTGAAAAATGTTCAGTGTTTTGAGAATATATAAAAGTCTATTTTACACGGCAGATTCTTTTGGTGCAGAAAGTGATGTTTCGAAATGCTTCTTCTTCTTTTGGTTCTGGAACGATTGTTGAAAAAAAATACAATATACAAGTCTGGTGTATTAATGGCAGTCAGTGTACAATATATTACATTCTTTGCTGCTGAGAAAGTTGTGTTCTGAATGGCAGATGCAACTGTTGTTGCCTTTTGAGTCTTTCCCTCGAGAAGGTGGCTTTATCTTTCAGTGGAATGTGTTGGGGTTTGGTCTGATCATCATGACGACTTTTTTTAAGGAATATGATCCCCCCCGAAACTCTGCCCAATAGACACCGTCCTGATAGCGACTCCGATAGTGTCCTCCTCGATACCAGACGCCGTTGAGGTTCGAATGCGCACATGCGTTGTACCACCATCCTCCCTTTTGGTAATGAGCACAGTTACCTGTAATAAAAAAGGAGGACACCTCTATATCAGTGAGCAAATTGCACTAGTCTGCATGCATTAAATTCTATATCAGGAGTAGACATGAATACAGTTTTTCTCTCCTGTCCACCATCTCATCCTGCCCAAGGCCAACCCTTTTGGGATCCAAACGTTCCCATCTTTCCCTTACTTTCTGCCTCTGAAAGAGAAGAGGAAAGGCAAGGAGGGGGCCTGGGGAAACCCCTCTACCTCCCGGCCCGTCCATCCCGCTCTGGCCCACTATGCGGCCCCCAAGTTAGGAAGTGTTGGTCTTGGCTTATAAAGCCCTATATGACTCCGGCCCAGCTTACTTGTCTGAATGTGTCTCCCTCTATGTTCCACCTCATAGCCTAAGATCCACCGGGGAGTCTCTACTTTTGGTCCCACCAGCCTTGCAAATGCATCTGGTGGAGACGAGGGACAGGGCCTTCTCAGTGGTGACCCCCCTGTTTGTGGAATTCGCTCCCCAGCAAGATTAGATCAGCATCCTCCCTCCTTTCTTTTAGGAAAAAACTGAAAATGTGGTTTTGGAACCAGGCTTTTGGCTAGCAGGCACAACAGCACTGTGAACATTGAACTGGACCTTATGTGGGCACATGGCTGCTGGACAGGCTCCTTGAGGGCTCTCAAGATGCCAGCCGAGCAAGGTGGTTGGGTAGAGTGCATAGGTCCCTCTCCCAGGTGGATTGATACCAGGGAAGACTGCAAATCCCACAGGGCAATCCCCTATGGTCAAAGAGACGTCTCCCCTCAAGGGTGGCGACTCAACGTCCCGGGTGGAAACCCACAGGGTACAGCGGACCATGGCAAGGCGATGCGAGACATTAAGATCTCGCCAACAGTAGACCAGCCCACGTTTTAAAAAGGACACAGAACTGGAGAGAAGCGGCGCACTTCATCAAATCAAATGATTGCTTAATTGTTTGTTTTTAATCTATTGTGTTTGTATGATTTTATTTTGCTGTTATAATGTGATACTTGTGGCATCGAATTGTTGTCATTGTTAGCCGCAGGGGTTGAGAAGGGTGGGAAGAAATGTTGCAAATAAATAATAAATAAATAATAAGTTTGCCCATGTCTGGTGTAAGGGTTGCCCCCAATACCACGATATTTGTTTTTTATCTACAGTATTATACTTATTACAGTATATACTTATTATTATATCTGTTATACTGAATAGACATTTTTCATGCATCGCTTCATTGAAGTCATAGTTACTGTACCTGTATATACATCATGATCTCTGTCCAGTGTCGTGAATTGCTTCCCATTGTGCCACGTGAAGGAGTCTCCAGCGTTTCCGTTGTAGCGCCCCAGTCGCAGCTTATAGTACTCGCTCTCTGGCTCCACTCGGAAACTGGCGTATTCGGCAAACACTTTCCGGCCTGACCAGTCTTCCATGGTGACCAGTAATTTATAGTTGCCTTGATTTGTCAGCCAGTAAAGATTTTCTAGGCCTAACCAGTACTCTCCGTCAATGTTACCAAATCCTTGCTGTAGGGAGGAAAAAATAAGTTAATTTTCAGTCCTAACTTTATGTCACATTCATGAAGTATCCTTAAATGCTGTGAAATTGAAATGCTTTCACATAGCAAATGTGAGAACTTTCTAAAAAGGACATTTAGCTTTTAAGAATTCACTATAGCTCCGATCCTTCCGCTCTGAGCCGTGGGTCAGGAAATGTCTTGCTTTCCAAAGGACTTTGGGGAAAATGTTAAGTTATTGTTTTGATTTTTGGATGATTTTGTGTCTCAATGATTTCATGAGCAGATACCTCTTTCAATAGCAGTTTAGGAATCTGTCAAGTTAGAAAATATGTTTTTATTATAACCCATGAACTGTAAACATGAGTTCTAGTCATACAAGCTCTTAGGGATAGATCCTCATCTATTGTCTGTAAAATCTATAAACCACAACCAAAATTATTGTATTGATAAGCTGAGTTTTTCAACCCTTTTTGAGTTGAAAAAGCCTCCCTCGGCTTATAATGCTGGGCAGCAGAGCCTGGAGGCCATTGCTTGCCCTATACGATATATTTCTCTCTCTCCTCTTCCCCTCCCTTGACAGTGTGTTTTCTTTTCCAGTCAAAAGGAAGGGAAGAAGGGAAAGAAGATATATTTCATGTCCTCCTTGTTTGTATGGCTCTCTTTCAAACCCACTCAATTTTCTGGCTTTTTTGTGTGTATCTAAATATATTAACTTAATATGTGCATTTTTGTTCCCTTGGAAGTTTTCCCCTCATATGTTTGTAGGTCTTTGCAGATCCTATATACATATAGATATCTAGAGATTTCCATGTACCTGTATATCTGTATCTATATGAATATATTATTTTTATATGAATTTTCCCCTCACATGTTTGTAAGTCTCTGCAAATCCTATATAGATATAATTATCTCTATATAGAGAGATGTCTAGATATATATATATATATATATATATGAATGTAGACATACAGGGTTTGCAAATATTGCTGGAGGGAAATGCACATATATAGAGAGAGGATTTGCAAACATTTCAGGGGGAAATGCATATGTGAAAATAGCATATATAATTATGGATCTATACCTAGCTCTGCATTGTTTATATAGGCATTGAATGTTTGCCTGTTACTATGTTGGAAGCCGGCCTGAGTCCTCATGGGAAGATAGGGCAGGATACAAATTATTATTATTATTATTATTATTATTATTATTATTATTATTATTTTACTGACACAAAACCACAGTATGTCACAGCAAACGAGATCTATATGCTGGATTTCGTATCAAAAAATCCCAAGTCGAACACTTCCCAAATATCTATGACTTATTATTATTATTATTATTATTATTATTATTATTATTGTGTTATTGCTGATACCATATTGTTTTTGTTGACCCTACTTTTCCACTTACAGACCTAGTTTACTGTTTATACTCGAGGTTATACTTGAATCAATACTTTTTTCCCAGTTTTTGTGGAAAAATTAGGTGCCTCGGCTTATATTCGGGTCGGCTTATAATCAAGTATATATGGTAGGTTGCTAATAATTTATTAGAGGAAATTGCCTCTGACAATTACTATTTGAAGAGATTAGGACTGGCTGAGATAGCAACATGTAGCCTTTGGGGATAAAGTCAAATACCTGCTTCAGGCAAGTTCTCATTAGAGAGGCATTTTAAAGCATAATTTCAAAGAATGGGTTTATCAAAGCAAACACACAGTGATTTGCACTTACCTTGTACGTCTCCCAGTTCCTGAAAAAGTTGACAGATCCATCCAAACGCCTCTGGATTACCGTCCAGCCACCAGGATCGTGCCGCTGGTCACACCAGACCTGCATCAACCGGTTTGTGTTTTCAGGTTTCACAAGGTATATGGAACTGGTGTCATGGCCATCTTCTAAGGCCTGTAGGCAGTCTCTCCAAGGACCTGGTGAAAGCAAGTGCACAATACCAGTCACTCAAACCGTTGCCCATCTTTCTACTTCAGGTTTTTCATGGATTGAAAATGATTTGGCTGTGCCATAACTATACACAGAAATTACTGCTGAATATGAGTATTGATGTATGTAATATATGTGAACTATTTAAAACAATTACAATAAAACAACATCATTTATTTATTTATTTATTTATTTATTTATTTTATGACATTTTTATCCCACCCATTTTAGCCTGAAGGCGACTCAGGGTGGCGTACAGATTGGCAACAATAAGATGCCATATAGAAATACACATATCAATAAAAACAATTAAAACACATCACAAATACATATAAAATCCATAAAAAACTATAAAACCATAAAAATCAATTAAAAAACCCAGTGTCTACCAATCCAAATTCCTCATCCGTTTACATATTCTTAGCCGTTCCATGTTCGTATTACGATTTTGTGTTAACTGGTCATGCTGCAGCTCCGAATGCTTGCTCAAAGAGCCAGGTTTTCACTCATTTTCGAAAGGTCAGGAGTGAAGGTGCCGATCTAATATCCCTGGTAAGGGAGTTCCACAGCTGAGGGGCCACCACTGAGAAGGCCCTGTCTCTCGTCCCTGCCAAACACACCTGTGAGGCAGGCAGGATCGAGAGCAGGGCCTCCCCAGATGATCTCAAATTCCTAGAAGGTTCATAGGGAGAGAGATGTTTGGATAGATAAGCTGGACCGGAACCATTTAGAGCTTATAGGCCAAAGCCAGCACTTTGAATTGTGCCCAGTAGCAAACTGGCAGCCAGTGGAGCTGGCACAACAGAGGAGTAGTATGCTCCCAAATCTTTTGGTTTTGATTAGGTGGGTTATTTATTTTATTTATCAGGTCAGAAGCGAATTGAGAGTACAGTTATAATAAATCACAAACAAAGTTAAAAACTTCTCATTATACTAAATTTTCTTTGACCAGAGTTCCTCTGGTGTCACTGCGAGAAGGTTCTCCCTTGTATATGTGGTAGGGTTCAGACTACATTGAACTAGCATTATACTAAATGTCCTTCGATCAGAAGCTGGCCACTTGGAGTGCCTCTGGTGTTGCTGTGAGAAGGTCCTCCATTGGGCATGTAGCAGGGCTCAGATTGCATTGTAGTAAGTGATCTGTGGTTTGCTCTTCTCCACACTTGCATATCGTTGGCTCCAAGGTGGCCTGCATCTATGGCAGGCATCCTCAGAGGTTGTGTGGTCTGTTGGAAACTAGGCAAGTGAGGTTTATATATCTGTGGAATGATGTCCAGGGTGAGAGAAAGAACTCTTGTCCATTTGAGGCAAATGTGAATGTAGCAATTGGCCAGCTTGATTAGCATTTAATGGCCTAGCACTTTTCAAGATATGGCTTCTTACTGCCTGGGGGAATCCTTTGTTGGGAGGTGATTAACTGGCCATGATTTTTTTTCTTGTCTGGAATTCCCCTGTTTTTGAGTGTTTTTATTTATTTATTTATGAATAAAACATTTTATAAATATTTTATAAATAAAAATATTTTATAAATAAAAACAACCTCTGAGGATGCCCTGCCATAGATGCAGGCGAAATGTCAGGAGAGAATGCTTCTGGAACATGGCCATACAGCCTGGAAAACACACAAAACAACCTGAAAACTGTATTGTTTCATATGAGCTACAGCCCTAATGTCTTTTAAACTGTGTGTCGCTTGATCTTACTGAATTAACACTCAAATCTTTGTCTGGTAAAGACATATATTTCCTCATTTCCTCTCTTCTTCAGAGCATGCTAAATGTGGACTGCATTGGCATTCTGAATGGTGTATCAAATTTTATAGTGCTTGATAATGGATATATCTGTTCAACCTACTGTTCATAGGTTGACAGAGACATGTTGCATGTAATCCTGCCATTACCAATGTAGACATGCAGATTAAAGCCCAATGAAATGCATTACAAACAAATTGTCACAGTTTCGTGTGTCAGGATTAATGAGATAACTAATAAATCATATACTGGCAGTCCCACATATTCTTCTTCTTGTCATTATTGTTTTATTGCTGGTTTAAAAGCCATGTGCTCGAGGCGATAGATGAAATCATCAGAGGGAATGGTGTACTTTGGTAGTTGCATGACACCAGTGGGGCAGATTAGGTGTTCTCTCTGGCTTATGATCTGTTTCCAGCCTGGCCCTTGGAGCCAAGGAAGTTTTCCATAATGGAAAAAGGGAAAACACAGCTTTGTATACATTCAGATCCAAGTTTCTGAGGAGTGGGAGGCAGGTTTCCCTAAGGAAGTGCAGGCAAGTTGGATAAGGATCAGATTATTCTTGGTTCCTAGGTAGAATGGAAAGCAGAACAGTCTATAGTAGTTGGGAGTGTCTGGTAGCAGGATACAAGTGGGGAAAAGGTGTAGGAAGATTTATTTTATTTTGTGTCAAAAGCAATGCAGCACCGCTGTTAAATCACCAGCAATGATAAGATCTACCAACCTAAAAGGTTGCCAGTTCAAAGCTCCGGATCTGCGTGAGTTCCCAACTGTCTTCCCAGCTTACTGTTTACCTAAGCAGTTCGAAAACAGCTTGAGCTGTAAGTAGAGAAATTAGATATTGCTAAAACAAGCGGGCGAGGTATTTTGACACCATGAAGAAAAAGATCAGAAAATGCCTGGTGACCAAAAGAAAGGAGGAAGTCCTGATGTCCCTTCATCATAGAGGAGCGTCCGGTGGCGCAGTGGGTTAAACCCTTGTGCCAGCAGGACTGAAGACCGACAGGACCCCGGTTTCTAATCTGGGGAGAGGCGGATGAGCTCCCTCTATCAACTCCAGCTCCCCATGCGGGTACATGAGAGAAGCCTCCCACAAGGATGATGAAAACATCAAATCATCCGAGTGTCCCCTGGGCAACGTCCTTGCAGACGGCAAATTCTCTCACACCAGAAGTGACTTGTAGTTTCTCAAGTCACTCCTGACACGACAAAAAAAATAAATAGAGGATGGAGCGACAGCACCCCCTGTGGCTGGATTCGAGCACAACCTCCAAGGCGCTAAAAAAGCTGGACATCAATACAATATACCTCCTTTCTGTTCTGTCTCTGTCCTGTCTATCCAAAACTGCATTTAATGTCTGCCGTGTATGTGTTCTGTGATCCGCCCTAAGATCTTTGTAGTAGCTGGAGAGATTTTTCAAGGCATTACTAAGTTGGATTTCAACTGTTTCAAAGTCTTTCGCATGTGTTGTTAGGCCAAGGTCATCAGCATATATAAAGCTCTTTGTGAGTGGTGGCTGTGGCTGATGGATAGTAAAGATGTTAAACAAGGTCGGTGCAAGAACACTGCTTTTAGGTTAGATCATTCCATCTATTTTCCTGCCCTGGAACTCTACATAGAAGCTGCAGTTTTCTAGGAGGGTCTAGATAGTTTTTGTAAGATCGTAGTCCCGGGTGAAATGGTAGGTGGAAAGCACAAATTTGTGTCTTGGTAGGGTTAGGCTTCTGTTAGCTATCTTTGTAGTAGCTGGAGAGATCTTTCAGGGCATTCGTAAGTTGGTTTTCAACTGTTTCAGAGTATTTTGTTTGTGTTGTTTGGGCAAAGTCATCAGCGTATCTAAAGCTCTTTGTGAGTGGTGGTTGTGGCTGATAGTTAGTAAAGATGTTCAACAAGATCAGTGCAAGAACACTGCCTTGAAGAAAGCCATTCTTTTGCCTCCTCCACCTACTTTTCCTACCCTGAAACTCCACATAGAAGCTGCGGTTTTCTAGGAGCACTGGATAGTTTTTGTAAAATGATAGTCATGAGTAATATGGGAGACTTCTTGCAGCATTGTTCTATGTTGCACCTTGTAAGGTCCACAAAAACTGTTCCCATAATGCAAACTTTCTCATAACCTTACTCGATACTAGTCTATATGCCTGCGAGACATGGACTGTCTACAGACATCACATGCAACTCCAGGAACGATTCCATCAGCGCTGCCTCCGGAAAATCCTGCAAATCTCTTGGGAAGACAAGCGGACAAATGTCAGCATACTGGAAGAAGCAAAGACCACGAGCATTTAAGTCAGGGGTAGGGAACCTTTGGCTCTCCAGCTGTGGTGGACTTCAACTCCCACAATTCCTTGAGGCTCGGCATTCGCCCCAAAGGCTTACCTTGGCCCAATGCCGAGCCTCAAGGAATTGTGGGAGTTGAAGTCCACCACAGCTGGAGGGCCAAAGGTTCCCTACCCCTGATTTAAGTGATGGTCCTCCGTCGTCAACTCCACTGGACCGGCCATGTTGTCTGGATGCCCGACCACCGTCTCCCAAAGCAGTTTCTCTACTCCGAACTCAAGAACAGAAAACTGAATGTTGGTGGGCAGGAAAAGAGATTTAAAGATGGGCTCAAAGTGAACCTTAAAAACTGTGTCATAGACACCGAGAACTGAGAAGCCCTGGCCCTTGAGCATTCCAGCTGGAGGTCAGCTGTGACCAGCAGTGCTGTAGAATTTGAAGAGGCACAAATTGAGAGCAAAAGGGAGTAATGCGTCAAGCCCACCCCGACTGGGACTGCTTTCCACCTGGAAAGCAATGCCATCACTACGGGACAGATGCAGATCAAGAGTAGGTCTCCACAGTCACCTAGAGACCCACCGCCAGTACACTGATCTTGGAAGGCTATCCTACTCGGACAATGAGGGATCGCCTAACATTAGTCTTGTGTTGTCGAATGCTTTTCTGGCCGGTTTCACTGGGTTGCTATGAGTTTTCTGGGCTGTGTAGTGATGTTCCATAAGTATTTTCTTCTGACATTCTCCCGCAAGCCGTAGACAGCCAGACCTTGAAACTTAAAGGCTAATCAAAGCTTGCTTCAACAACTCCTGCTGGAATGAGCCCTCCTCTGTAAATTACCTGCTTCCCTCTTTTATCTCGCCCGACTTTTTAATTAGTTTTAATCAGTTTGTCCTCTTGATTACTACATGTTGCCCGCCCATTATTATTGCGCCTGTGCATATTCTTCATTTTTCAT